TATTCTCTTTCAGATAATACCTATATAAGGTCATTTGCATAATTAATAATCTTTATGCTTGCTGAAATGTAAAGTTAGTCACTTCGACAAATTATGAACTTTGAGCAGTATCTGCGCAGTGAAACATGTGAGACCACCCAAAGTTCTACTGCTGGAGTGGGTGGTGGGACAGTCACCAAACCCACGACGGCTTGGTGGCCTCAACGTTCAAAGTCAGGAGATATGGCCATTAGCAGCTTCGAGAACGAAGATACGCGTTATTCAATTCCTTCCAGCTGAACGCACGTTTTCTAGGTACCATCTGATAGAGCTTCTTACGCTCTGTCCATCCATGTGCAGCTTGCCTCAGATTTTGTCTATTTTTGGAAAATGTAAGGCAAAACATAATTTTTTGGTTTTTTGTTGCGCCAAAAATAGCTATTTTCCAGGTTTTTTCGCAATTTTTCCTGAAATTGAAAAGAAATCTTGGGCATTTAACATATCGTTTAGAAGAGCATGAAAACCTCTTTCGAATGGTATGTCATTTGCTTTACGACTTTACGGTATAGCAGTGCAAGTTTGAGAGTTGCTCAAAAAATCCTGTCGGAGTTTTTCACGACGCCGCGCGTATACGGTTATAGAGAGGAGCGGTAACGCGTTGCCAGAATAATAGGCGAAGGCCGGTTATGCAAGCGACGTTTGAGTTGCAGCCTGCTTGTTATTGGTGAGGACAAAAAATCTTAAAATGTAATAGAAATCAAGCTGTCCCATTTTTCACCGTTCACCCTATACTTTCCGCTGGAGGAAAGTACCCCAAACTTGGGTAATAAAACCATCGATGGCACCTCTGCCACATAGAGTCTCATCTTCTCTCGGCGTACGCCCGAAACTGCGTAAAAAGAGTCTGAGCGCCTGCTGAAAGTTTGGCCAGCGCTCGCTGAAAGAGATTGTTTGACGAGCGCTTGCAGAAAATTTTGTATTGATGCCCGCTTGCAGAAAACGCAAATACCGCCCGCTGAAGATTTGGCCACGCCCCGAAATCCTGCTGACCGCCTGCAGAAAAGCGCGAGTTTGCGGACCGCCTGCCCCGGCGATTATCTGAGTTTTTGCTTTAAGCAGAGTGATTCACTAGAATACCTATACGTACTCCTCCTCCCCCCCCCCCATTCTCAATCCCCACTTACGATATATATTCTATTCAGAAAACCAACCTTAGAAGAGATTATACCAGCTGCATTCCTAAATAGGATATTATACCAGCTGCATTCCTAAATAGGATAACTAGCGGTGACTGCTTTGTTGACAAAACATAATTGAAGTATCAAAATTTAGTCAAAAGCTCTCGAACTCGAACATATGTAATATGTAAAAACCATGTGTGATAAAAACACATTATGAAATCATCTACATGCCTCTACTATTTTGATAATACTATCGGCTGGCTGCAGTGGCGGACCGAGGGGGCGCCCTAACCCCCCCCCCCCACCGAAAATGGGTCGCGAAATTTCTGGAATTTACTTACGTGGGTTATAAAAATGTGCAAGTTAATTTATTTGTGTAGATAATTGAAATATTTTGAAAATTTTTAAAAATTTAAATTAGTCCCGTAAAAATTTTTTTCGGAGGATTGGCTCGCACCACGCTCCTTTTTCTTCATTTTTGGAGGTATGGGGCCGCAAAAAGTTTGAGAAGCACCCCGAAAAATTTTTCGGAATGCGCGGCCACGCACCTTCATTCAAAATTTTTTGGTCCCCCCTCCCCCGGAGAGAAATCCTGCGACCGCCACTGGCTGGCTGATGAGTGTTCTTTATTCGAAAATTTTGTTCATTCGACAAATCGGAGGAATAAAGTATTCGAATATTCGAATATGCGAGGAATTTAGAAAGACAGTTATTCAATACAAATATTTGAGAAGTTTCAGAAATCCATTTCGAATATTCAAATCGACTATTGCGACTGAATATTCGAATTTGCATGCGAGTATCCGAATAATTATTGCATTCGATATTCGATGATATTCAGTTGTTCGTTTATTCGAATAGTGATTCGATCAAGTGGTTAATCGAATAATTGAAAGTTCGAATTTTGGAATGTGCCCGTATTCGAATATTAGGATTCAAATAATATAAAAAGCGGAAATCGAGTAATATTCTTTCGTTTGGAAATTTTTAAATTCAATTATTCGCTATTCATTCGTTCGAAAATTTTTCAAAGACTAATTATTCGTTGTTCGTCATCCGATGAAAAATCCCATTCGTCACAGCTATATTACAAAGTGGCAAAAAGCATAGTTCATTGTTTGGTTTTGGTAAAAAAAACTCTTGCGAAAATCTGTTACATTTACATTTCTGAGAAGTAGGTGGTTGGGACTATATATTAGTTTCTCAGTGCTGGTAGTTGTATGGTTGAAAAGGTCATGCGAAAACGATAATGAAATTCAAGTAGGCAGAGCCTACTGCCTACTAGCCTACTAGCCTACTAGCCATTTGTGCCATCAAGGGGCGCTTCTGTGGGACCACTTAGGGTGCATGTGTTTTTGAAAAAAGGATTAGACTTGACTTAAGGCTTTGATTTCACAGCGCACGCAGCTGCTGGGAGGTTCAAGATGGAATACGGCACTGATGGCTTGCTGATAAAAGCCATGAATTGCTTTTTATGCAAAATGATTAGCATATTAATAATCAGCATGGCAAATAACCCCACTACACCAAGTTTCAGCGAATTTTGTGACTTTCGCCCAACTACCGTATCCCTACCGTAACCTCGCTAAATGGTTCCGCAGTTCAAAATGAACATCATATTCGTGATCAGCGTGCCAAAGAACCCCACTGTACCAAGTTTCAGGCAATTTCGTGATTTTCGTCTAACTACCGTATACCTACCGTAATCCCGCTCCGTGGCCCCGTAGCGAAAAACGAATGTTATATTCGTGATCAGCATGTGAAGTAACCCCATTGTACTAAGTTTCGACAAAATTCGTAATTTTCGGCCAGCTACCGTATCCCTACCGTAACCGCGCTGTATGGGCGAATGGTGAAAAATGAACATCATATTCATAATCAGCGCGCCAAAAAACCCCACTGTACCAAGTTTCAGAGAATTTCGTGATTTTCGTCTAACTACCGTATACCTACCGTAATTCCGCTCCGTGGCTCCGTAGCGAAAAACGAATGTTATATTCGTGATCTGCATGCGAAATAACCCCTGTGTACCAAGTTTCAGCCAATTTCGTGACTTTCGCCCAACTACCGTATCCCTACCGTAACCCCCTTATGTGGGCGAATGGCGAAAAATGAGCATCGGATTCGTGATCAGTGCGTCGGATAACCCTCGGGACCAAAAATTTACAAAATTTCAAATTTTTGTGTTCAACGGTGCACTATGATACCCCCATCATGCTTCAAGAAACTCGGAGCGAAATCTACCCCGGAGGACTTTTTTCTGGACCTCTGCGTTAACGCACTAGTTCTCTTTCTCTAACCAAACTCGGAGTTAACTCCGAGTTTCGCGGGCTGCTGAAATGCGCAGCAAACTCAGAGTTAACGCGCAGCTGAGCTGCGCGTTTCGTCGCGTAGCGTCTCGCGTAGAACGAATTACGCTACGTTTCCATACTTGGCATAAAGTACGTCTTGCGGGGTATCCTGCCATATAAGCCTTTCCCCAATTTGGTTTGCTTATGCAGGTGTCAATGGTCCCCGAAAGGTGCGCGTTAACTCAGAGTTAACTCTGAGTTTGAGCTGCGCGTTTCGACAGGTTTACTACCGGCCCAGCACTTTTGTAACTCTTTGCGCGAGATCAAGCGCAGTAACTCGTTTTCATCAAGAACCAACAGCTTCGTGGATTCTGAATCTCACTCGCAGTCCATAAAGAGGTTAGTTGAGAAAACAAAAACTTGGTTTTAGCAACAAGAAAAGCTATGAAAACGCAATTTTTCGTTTTGCCGGGATACCTCAGAGAGGGAAGCATGTTTAGTCGAAATGACCTTTTTTGGGATGTATAGTATATTGGAGAGTATAAAACGCTGATTCCAAATTTACCTTCCTCATCTGCGGATGGACAAGGAGTTATGAGCGTTCAAAAGCAAAAAGAAAAGTTACAGTCGGAATAAAATGAGATGCTAGAATCTCCCTAGCCCTTAAATAAAGCATTAAAAGTGATATATTTGTTTATTTGAAGATTCAAGGAATAAAGTGCTCTAATAGTGCTTACTGCTACATTAAAGCTCTAGAAAAAATATTACGGCAATCATCAGATGCATAAACGGCCCAGCTGACAGAGTATCATGGTTCCTCAACAAAATTATCAGCCCATTTCTCGAAAAAGTCCCCTCCCATCTGATAAACACTAGACGTTTTCTTGACCGATTGCGACAAGTTAATTTTGACCAAGATTGCGTCATAGAACCATGCGATGTGTCGTCGTTGTACACCAATGTCTCAAACAGCGGCGCACTAGAGGCCCTTTCTGAGATGCTTGATGAGCACAATGCAAGTTTGTCGACGTATGGACTCAATAAGATGCGACGCATGACTCTCGTAAAAGAGTGTCTCAAGGGCAATGAATAAGGTTGCTTCAAATGTTCTGTCCGATTTGCAATATTCTGGTTCAAAATGTTATAACTCTTTCCGAAATCAACGGTCGGTAGTAAACCTATCGAAACTCAGAGTTATAACTCAGAGTTAACTCTGAGTTATCTCTGAGCTAACGCGCAACTTTTTGGCCCCTTCAACAGGTGTTTGAACAGATCAAATCCGGAAAGCGATGATATGGCAGGATTCTCCTTAAAGGCACCGTCCACCCAGATTCTCGACTTCCAGGTTTTTGGCGTTTCAGGGCTTTCTCATGTCCCTGATTCTGAATATGAGGTCGAGAATCCGCGAAAACCCCGTGATTCTCCGTTCTGGAGAACCCTTTCTAAGAAGGGTGGACGAGTACGATATCGCAGGCTCTCGGGGTTAGCTGTTTTGCGTCATCTGAAAAGTCGTCGGGCGCAATTGCGCCTACACTCCTCATCGTCTTATTCTTTAGCTTCGAATGTTATTATTGCGCTATGCTTCTCTTATTCCTGCATCTTGATCTTCGTTTGTTTATTTTTTCTCTTCAGTGAGCCTTCCAAGTTGTTGTTATCGTTTACTGAATGTTGTCGCTGCTGATAAATTAGATGTTCGTGCCATGTTCTGGTTGTCAGCATCGCAAGAAATACCCTGGTATGTTGTGTTATGGAAATGACATAGCCTTCTTTTGTCCTACTTCTTTTTTATTGGCTTCCTATGGTTTAGAGTTGTGTTTGTTTTGTATTTCAGCGCGAGATAGCTTTTTGTGCAACGTAGAAATTCTTATACGCGCTGTCTCATTGACTTGTTCGCTGTACATGCCGAACGGTGGTGTACGCCTGCATCTTTTCATAGGTGAATACGGGCGAAAGCCTATACATAGATTCTATTACTTCAGATCGCTTTATAATCAATTGTCTCAGGGTTTCCTTCATTGTGATTGGTTTTCAGATTGCTTTGTCACTTATGTCACGTTAGGCTTACGTTTTGCAGAAATACGAACTGGAGCGGACGCTTGTTTTTGCACAGGTACTGCAGTTATGGTAAATCTTGTGGCAGAATTTGCTATGTTTTTTAGGACGTGTTGCGGAATTATGCTGCCCCGCTTCACATACCTTCGATGAGATTTGGTTGCTGCAGAGTCGGGAGACTGCCGCAAAGAATGCAATGGGCGTTTGCACACCAACAAGGTTTGCGGAACATGAAGTCAATATAGTCACCTCATTTCAGTGATTGCTGTACATTCCAAAATGCCGAAATTGTTTCACAATGACCATCGGTCGAAAAACCGACGGTCATCTGACGGTCACCATTACTTCTACTATTTCCTGTAACGTTCTCAAAGAATCTAATCGAGGTGTGTCTCAATTTTTTACTTGCTTTTGAGTTTTTTTCCGCTTTTTTACGTTGATGTTTATGATTATATATACATTTTACAATGATTACACATTGGTATGGCTACCGATTATGTCACATGTTCTTCGTACTCCATGTCCTCTTCATTAGTTGCTCGTTCGTGTAGTGTGATAGGAAATCTATCCAGATTTCCTTACGCCAGATATGTTCAATAGGCGTCTTGCGCTCGATGTGACTCTCCCTTTCACTGAATTTTCGGTGGACTACGGTCACTCGTTTTACTACTCTTTCCCCATCCAATTCTGCTATTCGTAAGGCGTTTTTGTGCAGTGACGACAATTTCGCATAGAGAGAGTATGTGGATGATGGCCTAAAAATGGGGAAAATGGAATTGTTTTGGAGGACAGGGTTCTGCGCTGTGGCTCACAGGTAGACTTCTTTTGGACCATAGATACGGTCCAGCGAGTTTTTGGACTCGCACTGGCTAGTCCCACCATAGGGACTAGCCAGTGCAAATTTTTCTGGAACGCATCTTGGAGAATAACCTCTTTTAGCTTGTCGTGTGCTACACTTCCCCAGGTGATATTTTCTCGATCTTCAGGAAGTAGACCTTGGTGGTCACAATGGGTTATATTTCCTGTGAGCGTGTTCTGAAAAAGAAGGTTAGAAGCGCCCGTGGTCGAGGTAGTATTTCACCTGAGGCCATCGATGTATGTCTGCCACGTGGTAGATGCACGTATTGAAGTAGTGCCTCACTATCTCTCCGCTGTTGTTTTGAGCACCGTGTTTTATAGAGTGGTAGAGATGGCCCTTTATATGGTCCTTCCAGTCGTGAATCGCCTCGCAATCCTTTCTCTTTCCGACCTAACTGTGTATTTCAGAGAGTGGGACCGAGTTTTGCAAATCTTACTGCTCGTAAGGTTTTATCTAGGTACTTTGCTAGATGCCAGGGGTCCACATACCACCTGACCTGATCTCCATATTCAGCGTTGTAAGACTCAATCTCTGTCTTGAACGCGTAACTGCGATCGGTTGAGATCGAGTGAATTGGAATATTCATTGATCTAAACCATCGCAGTATGCGGTGGAAGCCGGCTTTCTCCATGCGTCCACTCTTACCACCTACAATGTTAACTTGAGTTCGTGAGTGGGATGGGTTCTTCTCTGGCGCCACCTGTTTCTGACCGGTGCACAACTTCAGTATGCACGCATAGTCCAGTTTTCAGATCAATGGCGAGGACTTTGCAGAAGTCCGCACTGTGGCCTCTGCTGTCGTAAGCCCCGTCAATGGCTATATTTCATCCGGGCTGGAATTCATTCTGAACATGTGGCACAATGGAATCTTGTAGTTTGCTGGTTCGTCGTTTAGTTGGTTTACCTCATAAGCGTTTTTGATACGCACGATAGTTTGTGCTTCATGTTTGTCATAAACCGTTTCGATCGACGGTATTATTCTTTTGAAATTTTTGTAGAATGTCGTACTACACGGCAACAGCAGATTCATCTCTGATGCCCAGTTGTTCAGTTTCTGAACAGATTGAACTACAAGGGAAACAAAGAATAGTTGAATTTATTACAGTCCAACGCGCTCCTGTCGTTATCGCGGCTGCGCACGCTAGGGTCGTTCCGCTGTACAGCTTTTTGTGTACATCTTCTACAAGTTTTTCTTGGCCCTCCCACTTTTTCACTACCGGTTTCGGCCCTTTGGTGACGTACTTGATGATTGGTATGGCGGCAGACGCGTGCACCTCCAGGCACACATCTCCGGGTTTGGTGCCATTGCACCCGCACCTGCTGAGGTTGAAAAGCTCTAAGAGCTTTTTCCCTTGGACAATGAAAATATTTGTCCAGCAGGGCGGGGTCAGTTTCTTCCAATTCGGGTGCTCGCTGTCAGATGTTGGCACCTTCCCGGGCGAAAAGTAGGAGCCGCTCTGAAATGAGCTGAATGAGGATTAGTGGATGGAGTTTGCTGGAATTGATGTCAGTATGCTTTCTAACCGCAGTCTTGTTCGATGATCCTGAATCTGTATGCTTCACACATGGTGTGCTAAGAAGGCTGCTAGCAGTTTTGGTTGGAGATCTTAAGTTCTGTGTTTCTGCAGAAAGCGCTTGCAGCATCTCATAATCCATGGAGAAGTCACAGTTTTGAGTGCCTGATGTTCCGGCCTCCGTTATTGGCTGAATATCATATGACGCGTTCATAGCCTAAATCATCAGGGGGGGGGGGGGGGGGGAGAAGCACCTGTAGATAATCAGCTTCTGCCAGATTTGCGAGCTGAGGGATTTCCCACCTGCCCTCATGATAGTATTTCTTCAGTTGTCCGTTTAGGTAACACATCAGATCATAGTTGGTGACTGTGATGTTGTTCTAGAAAATTTCATTGCTGCAGATTTTCTTTGTCTTCTACGCAAACTGACCGAAAAGGACTTTATGGCATCATTGACGCTTGCTAGAATATGCTCAGAAATTTCACTCTGATTGATGTATGAGACATGATCTAGCGTTTCGGACAGTCTTCCGCCGCTTGCAATCACTTCCGCGAGAATGTATTGCGTCTGGACAACAAATTACTGTACTTCTTTTTGAACTGCTGAAAGACCTACAGCGTCGGTGCAGTGCCTGATGCAATAGTATCTTCTACACGTGCTCATCTGCAAAGCACTCCACTTCGTTTGATATGATTGATGAGTACTTGTTTAATGCAGCCAGGAGTATCGCATTGTAGGTCTTGTTAGAGGACGAACGCGTCGTAAATTTTTCTTCGGTCTTGTTGCCGTATAGAAAGCATGTGATAGGCATGGTTGATCGGCGGGAGCCTCAGACATTTTCTAAAATGCGTGATTTGCAAGATTTTTGTAACATTCATTATAGACTGTGCCGGTGCCAAAACACCTGATAAGAATGGTGTCTTGTCTAGTGCCATCTAAACGTTTGGAGCGTTCTCCAACCATGCTTCGTCCACAGGCCGTCGTTCTCTTATTGAACCATGCATCATTATAAATACAAAAAACCCTGGGAAAACGCTTCGCAAATTTAGACAGTATATTTGAAACTAGCTGGCTTACCCGGCTCCGCCGTATGTTCCAAATAGAAAATTCCATTTCTTAACCGATCCGGACCAAACTTGGCACACATACACTTCGGGCCCCGGCGCGTGTCACAGTCCACTTTTCGTTATCGATCGATGTCGATTTTATCGATTTTTTGCAAAATTTGAGCTAGGGGACTGGAATTTGGCAGAAGGGTGTAATCGAGCATGCTGATCACCCCCACGGGGGTGGTCAGCATGCTCGATTACCCCCCCTGTGTCAACTCCCAGCCCTGTAGCTCCAATTTTCCAAAAAATCGATAAAATCGATATCGATCGATGACGAAAAGTAGCCTATGACACCCGCCCGGGCCCAAAGTGTATGTGTGCCAAGTTTGGTCCCGATCGGTTCAGAAATGGAATTTTCTATTCGGAACATACGTACATACATACAGACAGACATACAAACAGACATTCAGCTTTATATATAAGATAGTGCTTTGAATTCTATCCCTTGATACGCATCAATTTTCTAATGCCATTTTATCAAGGAGTGGTCTCTGATACCGAAGCGCTGTCAGTGCTCCTAGTCTTGTAGGAACAGGTCGATATATCGTTGTAGAATTTTGTTAAGACTGAGATCTCCGATAAGAGCTAAGTGCCCCGTCAACTCTGCTCTTTTTCCTCTTCTCGTCTGCGTCTCCACTCGTAGCGCGCTACCTCGCCGCCCTTAACGCAAAACACGGAGCTTTTGATCCTAGCAACCTTTCCTTCGTTGTTCCAATTCTGGCAAATTTCTACATCACATTGTACAGTGCTCATCAACTGTAGTGTCGGGTGCATCAAAATTTCCACTCCCGCGCGGGACCCCGCACTTCTTCCGCGAACTGCTCTCCAATCATATCCAATCAACTGAGGCTCCGCCTATCCCACGCTCGCAGTGGGAAAGTGATCAAAGAGCGTGCTCGCGAAAGAGGTGCAGAGTCAAGGAGAAGCGGCCGCGGAACGGAGATGCTGGTGTTTCCGACATTGCAGTTGATAAGCCCTGTAGCTCTTGATGTCTACTTTCACGCTGACGTCGTCTAATCCTTTATTCTAATATGAAAAAGAGTTCTTGCAAAAAATTCTGTTTTCGAATATCCATTGTTTTTCCTCAAGTACGGCTCTTTTTACCTGATATTTTTGTGCGTTTTCGATGGAACTTGCCTCTGCCTATAGTGTAGACAACGTCCTCGAGCTTACTTTCTCTTCCTTGACGAAACATTTGGCAAAAAACTGAAAATGCGTTTTACTTCATAATTCTTTTTTGAAGTGTGTGCGCAATTATTTTTCAATACTTTAAGGTTCCTTACTCAGAACGATGGACAGCAAACGATAATACGGGGGGTAAGAATATGAGGGACGCATCGTTAGATTGGATTTGATGTGCATTTCGACTTACAACAATAGAGTTTCTCTTTTCATAATAATTCTTATTCCTGCTTATCCTATTTTTCGCAGTGGCTGTATCAAACAGTGATTGCGTTTGAGGCAAACAGCAAAAGAAATCAGCTTTCTCTCCTTTTTCCCGAGTTGTAAGCAAGTAGGTACTCGAGCTAAACCTGCAGCAATCCGAAATCTATTGCAGCTTTTTTACCCGTTTTTTTTTACCAACCTGTTTTGTTTGTGCTATTTGACATCTCTTTCTCTTTGATTTTTCTAGACAACCCTTTTCATCTTTGTATCTTACAAAGAAAGTATACCAACTTAGATTCGCTTTTGGAGATGGGACACATATATTTGAAATCAGCTTTGAACACTGATTTCAACTAGCATTAGATTAATTTCTTCAGTCTTGAAAGGGGGCATTTTACAATTGCAAAACCATCTAAACGTCAACACCGTAGCATCAGTAGGTAGAGGAGCAAGCAAACTTTTTGTAGAAAAGCGGCCATAACTCGCTTCAGAGTATCGCTAAGCAACTATGAACAGC